ACGAGTTTGAGGTTGGAGCCTCATCCTCGTTCCTGGCAGGGATACCTTAACCAAGCGCTCGAAGATTCCTGACATTATGAATCATAATTTATGATCGGTAGTGACGTTCAATTACTGACCAGTGAAGTGGGGACAAATATCTCTGTACGTGCATAATTTGTGTTGGCCGCACAGTAGTATGGCATAACGCGAGCAGCGTGCCAATGTTGAGCTGGCATTGTCAGTATTCCTTTAGCGCTCAGGCATTCCATCTTCATCACATTAAGCTCGTATGAAGTTACCCCCCAGTCTGGCCATCCTGCTCGTCTTGGGTGTTGTTAACGGTGATGTTCACGTGGATGATGCTGGAAAGATCATCTCCGAGATGATGATGGATAAGCAGGTCGATAATGGCGGTCATGTGTCCGAATCTGTCACCAACCAGGACTCGCCTAACAACCTTAGCGATCCATTTTCATGTGCTGCGTGCGAAACCTGCAAAGCGGTTGCGTATATTCCGCCCGTGTGCTGGGCTATAAACATTGCATGTGGCGATCACTGCGAGGATTGTTGCTGACATTCGATGTCCTGTAGGCATTGTCTTCGGCTGCCCCGCATGCCAAAAGGACTCTCTCCTTCATATTCTGACATAACTGTATAATCCGATATTCATTTCTTTAGTTGGATATTGTCGGTTCAAGAATGTCATCTGATGCAAGAGCCAGTTTCCTAGCCGGGTCCCAGGATGCTATCTCTGGTCACGGCAATCTTCCAGAATGTATGACACGATGTTGCTGAGCATGCATCTGCTCACGAGATGCTTAGTATACCGTTCACTGAACGGCGTTCAGTCTTTCTTTATTCGCCTTCTTGTACCAGCTGATATGCATTGTATGCGCTAAGGTTGATTACAGCATATGGCAATTGATGTTATTGTTGTAAAACCTTGAAGGCTCTTCACAGATCGCATTGTCGTGTTCCATGTGAACCATCCAGAAATCTATTCGGCGAATAGAGCCACTACGTCCAACGGACATTGTCCGCGGATAAAGAACCTACATACAGGAGTGAGGACACTGGTTAAGTGACTGGGTTTACAGAAATGCAATATATTAACGAATAAGGAAGTAAATTCAGCGACGCGACTCGAGTGAGTGTTTCAGTTTGGTGAGCAAGGCCTACAATTTCATGATCGAAGAAGTTGATTTCCAGGTATTAAACTCCCTAGCAGCGTATAGTGGAGAATGTTTAGTCTTACAGAGTTAGGGAACTCGACACTATGTCAATTAGTTGGATATCAAATCAGAGTCTTAGCTTCAAGGCAGCTAGTAGAGTGTAGCTGAAGAGTAGAGGGGGTTGGTCTACATCGCAGTGCTTGTCAGTTGAGGAAATCCTCAGCCGGCAAGTGCTTAGTCACTATAAGTCCCACCTAGGTGGTACTATAGTGCTCCTCTACTCGAGCAAAAGAAGAAAAATATGTATATAAATTGATATATTTGGTCTTAAGTAGTTATCCACAATAGCCTTACTAGCTCAAATTGTGCGACTTATCGCACCACTCAGCTATTGTGTTTTCCAGTTCAGTTCGGTTGTGTGGCTTGTCGCCCATACTTCTGCCGCTTGGCTCGTTTAAACGCCACTCCTGCTACGAAGAGCTCAACGTCTACAAGTCATCACCGTCCATATCAGAAAATATGACTGTTATTACGGAAATTTCTTTCCGGGTAATACCCGGTAAGAAATTACCGGGTACCTGTAATTAACAATTAGACCGGTATACCTGGCCTTCTTGTTACGGTACATACTCGGCAGGTATGTACTGTAACAAGTAGACCACTTTTAGTGGGTCAGTGTGCCGTATTCTGAGCGTCCTAGGTGTCCTCATAATGATGTTTCTTATGACTTCTAGATGTCATTTGGAACGAAGCGAGCTGTGTTGAAAAGTTCACTTACAGTGATAGCGATACAAATACTTTAATTAAGGCATGGATACCTAACTGAACCTGCCCGTTGCCGCTATCATACATAAACTACAGTATCGCTCACCCGCGATATCACGACTATGCGAGAGAGGCATGATGCCTCTCTGTGTCAGGCATCACAAGAATATCCTTGGATAATTTTCATCATGTATTCGGTATCGCTCTTCGGAAGAGCCTCTTCCGGCGGAGAAGCGCGACCAGATACATGATGGAGCTTCTCGGATGGAAGTTGGACTTGTTTTGCGTCTTCATGAACATGACGGAGTCATCTCGAAGGTCAGCGCTCTCATAAGCGGCACGATCGTGTGAAGTTCACATTGTTAATTCATAAGTCAATAATTTTCCAGTTGACTGATAGGGTATCTCGTGGTTCTCCATCCGGGCGGTTGATATCCACGAACCACACCTTCTCGAGTCGCATAGATCAACTTCTCGAGAGAAATGAAGAAAAGTAAAAACGTCTCGCTCGATTACTTATCATGCATCGGTCCGATGCCACTGAAATCCGTTCGTGCCCTCACGGAATTTCAGTGAGCTGTGCCTCATGGCCAGCGCATAATGGATGGTTCACTGAGCATGTGTCGAGCATATCTTTCTTTTGTCGTAGCTGCTGTATATCGGTTTCAATTTTCTAGGATTGCCTGAGGGTTGTTCGCCGTAGCAGTCTTTCTGATCATCGACGGGTTTCAGTTCAACTGAGTTGATTATTATTATGACATCCACTTTTTCTTTGCTCGTTAGAGTCTCCGTCCTTGGAGTGGCCCACTGAGTGGGGAAACATTGACCATTCTTGGACGGATAACGTAGGCGAACTCTCATTGAGCGTTTTCAGTTTGCTCATAGCTTTGTAAGCTAAGCATGCCGCTATCAGTTTCCTTCTTAATACGGAGATAAGACTCGCAGCTCCAGGGGCCTGGCAAATGAGCTCTGTCATCAGCTGGGCGGGCCTGAATCAGAGTCTGATTATCAGACCGCCTGATATAACAGGTTTCGGAAGTTTTGACGATTGCGCTCACCAGAACCACAAAATCCGATTTTGTGTTTGTGGTTCTGCCCTTACCGTCAGTTCGTCATACAAGTGAGGGTTGTGTACCTATTGTGCGCAGCCACACGTGAGACATTCGTGCATGACAGCCACAGACAGCAAGCAGCATTGCCACTAATTATCAGCTACCGTTATTGCCACCAATCCCTAATCCCTGTAGCTGGAGGATTCACGATGAAACTTGTGTTGAAACATTCACCATACATGCGGCGAAGCTTGAATGGAATAACACATAATGCGTTACACATTCCTTGGGCAATAACTTTGTGACCGTATAGGGCTTCGATTTTCATGTGGGATTATACTAATCTAAGGAGAAGTCTCATCTTCATTCCTGGCAACTTGCCAGTGACAAGAGTACCTTGAGCAAGCGCTTGACAATTCCTGACATTATGATTGGTAAGGACGTTCGCTCACTGACCAGTGAGGGCAGATGCCTCTGCACGTGCATAATTTGTGTGGGCCGCACAATGCGGGGCACGACTCGTGCCGATGCTAGGCTGGCATTGTCAGTATTTCTTGAGTGTTCAAGGTATTCCATCTTCATCACAGTAATCTCATGAAGTTACCCACCATTCCGACTATCCTGCTCATCTTGAGTGTTGTTAACGGTGATGCCCACCTGGCTGGTACGGGGAAGATCAACTCCGACATCATGATGGATATGCAGGCCGATAATGGCGGTCATGTGTCCGAATTTGACCTCGAACAAAACTCGCCTAACAACCTTGAAGATGAAGTTCAGTGTGCGGTGTGTGAATCCTGCAAGGTATTTCCATGGCTAGACATCTGCCCGGCTATACAAGACATCTGCGACGATGACTGCGGACGTTGTTGCTGACATTTGGTGTCTTGTAGACATAGCCTTCGGCTGTCCAACGAGCCGGAAGTACTTTATGCTTCATGTTCTGACATAATTGTATAATCCAACCGATTTCCATTTCTTTCGCTGAGTCGCTAGTCGCGTCGGTTCGAGAGTCTCGAATCAAGGCTGTTATCTGATGCAACAGCCAATCTTCTGGCCGTGTCCAAGGATGCTATCTCTGGTTACGGCAAACTTCCAGATTGTACGAAACGATGTTGCTGAGCATGCATCTGCTCACGAGGTCCTTAGACTGCCGCTCAATCTCTTTCTATACCTTCTTGTAACAGCTGATATGTGCTGTACGCGCTATGGTGGATTTATAGCGTATAGCTTTCAATGTTCTTGTTGTCAAAGCTTCTGTATACCTTCTAGTCCCAGCTGATATGTGCTGTACGCGCTATGGTGGATTTATAGCGTATAGCTTTTAATGTTCTTGATGTCGAAACTTACAGGCCCTTCACAAATCGCATTGTCGTGTTCCGTCTAATTCATTCAGAAATCTTTCTGACGAATAGGGCCACTACGTCCGAATGACATTGGGCCTGTTTCACAAGGATACTTAATTTAAGGCGCCTTAAATATAGGAGCAACTCAAGGAGCTACTTAAGGTATACTCAAGCAGTACTCAACTCATTTCACAACGTTTAGGAGCAACTTAAGGAGCTCCTTAACTTAAGGCGTACTTAAGTATCTACTTAATCATGGTTACAGGTATAGAATAGAGTTACATTTAAATTTTTGTGGTGTAAATGCTCGAGTGGTCAGGTTGCCCATTCACTATACGGTCGACGCAGGTTCGAAGCAGAGGTGTGTTGTTTCCGTGGTCGTTTACTGTTTCGCATTGCGAAATTAGCAACTACTCTCCTCGATCATGGATAAGGTATCAGTGGTAAGTTACCATTGATAACGAGACTGCAAGGGGAGCTGCATTCCCACGAATTACTATGTTAGCTAAAAATTCTTGCCTAGAATAAGTCACTCAACGGTCCGCTAACTTAGCGCCGCTAAGAGGAAAATATACTCATGTGAACTCAACGGATACGCAAATCATCGAAATATCACTAAGTCGCTGCAACTATCTGCGAACGTAGCTCTTACGAAGAGCGTTCCCGACACCATCCACGGGGGCATCTGGGTCAATCAGAGTTATTCGAGATGACTGTGATTGACCCAGATCCTCATCTCCTGCTCACAAGCAGCGAACATTGCCTCTTCGACGTTTTGTAGTGGCTGATTCTTAAAGCCTTCAAGTTAAAGGTGATCATATTGTGAAGTTCGGTTCGGATTTTGCTGCGTCAAAGAAATGAACTCTTGGCTCGATTTCTTTGCCTCTCTGGACAAGTGGGAGAGCACAGTGGCATTCGTAAGGTCTCCGGTTCGACCCCTGTGGGGTGCAGTATTCGAACACGGTACTTAAGTATCTGTTTAGGTAGGGTCGGCTCTACCTTAATTAAATTTAAGGAATACTTAAGTTGCTCCTTAAGTACGCATGTTGTGAAATGCTCCTCGTAAATACTTAAGTAAATGCACAGAAACTTAAGGCGCCTTAAGTATTCCTAAACTTAAGGCGCCTTAACGTGCTTACTTAAGTAGTGAAATAGGATGTCCTAATTACTCAAGGTATACTTAAGGCGTTACTTAAGTTTAAGGCGCAGTTTGCTCCTATGAAACAGGCCCATTGTCCGCGGATAAGGAACCTGCATACAGGAGTAAGGACACCTTTTTGTGGAGACAGAATCATACACGTCCGAAATGGTGAATTATACGAGTGCATCTCGTCGAGTCGCAAGTGAAACATTCATCGACCTTAACAAATCAACATTAAAGCTCTCCTTTGGCACTTGTACGCCACAGAATCATTTGCACGCCTGTTGGACCGCCCTAGAGCTGTCCGAGAGCTATGCACATAGTGGAACACTTCCAACTTGAAACCTGTGGATTTTGTGACGTCTTCCTCACGTGCTGAGTCCTATTTCTGATAACCCAGCCAATTGGCATAATGCTTCCGAATCGAGAGTCTCGATTCACACAACAGAGAGCGCCCAGCGTTTTGGCGATGCTTTGAGACGATATCTCGGATCCTGGGAGAAAGGGATATTAATTTTTTTTGTTTACTCTTGTGGATGGGGAAGGATGTAGATTGGCTTACAAAGCCGGTGTTCTTCATAAAACAGTCCTATGTTGACTGCTAGGACGATAATTCGACGAGATGAGCGTCCGAGTTATCGGAGCCCTCGGATTCCGAGGTACACATGGTATAGCATCTATGCTCTAGTTTGGGAAAGTAATGAACGGGTTACGTGCAGTAGTTCAGAGAATGGTGTATTATCGTGGATATCATATCCAGGATATGACTACCTGATGAATCAGGATTAGCACAGGAACCAGCCTACATCTTGTGTAAGATATCGCGCTCAACTCAATTGAGGGTGAATCCATCGCAGCTTCACGCAACTCAATCTCTCGATGTATATGGAGATACTAGTTTCAGCTGTAATCTGGCTATCTATGTCTGTGGATGTAATCAGAAATGGCGCTTCAAGACTCGTTTTCTCAATTTGAGTGACATCTGTCCGTCAACCGGACAGTTGGTTGGGAATGTGGGAGAGGACCGAACACTATGAACCCGAAGCCCAAACCCTCTCCGGGTTTTACCTTGGGCCATAGATTCACAGATCATGTTTGGTCACACTAACTTTGTCACGGAATATGGCCCATGTTTCCTGACAGATATTAGTGTCCCCCAACCAACTTGGGACAAGACTAAAAAAGGAAGGAACGAGACTGCCAGTCTCAGACTGATTCATGGGTGGAACCATCTCGGTCTCACAACATACGGTTCGATCGATAACACCAGAATACACCAACATATTTCTTGATTAACGGAATGAGTTAACGAATGTAGTGTCTGTGAAATCCCAGGAAGGAGGTATCACCAAGCGCACGCCCATACAAACGCAACGCGCTCTAAGATTGGGACACAATTGTGTAACGCTGAAGCACCTTAGCGAATCATGAATGGGAAATCGATCACTAGAGTAAAATTGTAGTTCGCAATAGAATTATGGCTTTCAATGAGAGCTGAGCTACTTGCGAACATGACCGTAGGTATCGGTCTACAAGGGAATTCTGAGATTTTAACCTACCCACTACCAACCCTGAGTACGGCGATGTCAATCGCCAGTGACGTATGGATGGTATACTACCAGAACACCTGTAGTACTGTACTACTAGTACAGGCTTTTCACTTGATGACCATAATTGGCCCGATTGGACGGTTAGATAGACTATACAACATGATGTCGATCGTTTTAACCCATTTTATTTGACATCATGTGTCGCCGACGATTAGGCGGCGAAGGGTCCCATATTCACAAACTATGGTCACACAAGTGAGTATTATCTCCTAGTTTGACCATCCAAGACCTACAGCAGTCTCAAACTCACTGGCGCTATGACATGGAAAACCGAAACTAACTCGCCATAGAGTCACAAGGCTCGTGTTCGGGTTTCATGTTTACGAAGCCGGACACAGCTGTCCGGTCCTATCATGTTCCTGGGATCAATATGAAGGCATCGCCGTACTCAAGGAACTATTTTAAATTGAAAAAAATTCTAGCCCGTCGAGGAGACCTATCGACCACTATGGCCGTACCCAAACTGCGTTGGTAGCCACTCATGGCCTGATTCATGAAAGCTTAGCGTTCGATCATAGCTCTGGAGCACCCGAAACCGTTAGATGGGCGCGCGCATTTCGATTGTGTTACTTGTCTGTATCGAGGGCAACCCTCCTTACGCGGTATTTCACTCACGCTACAGTACTGTTGGTCTTCCGCCAACCAGATAAGGTAGGCGAACTCTCATTGAGCGTTTTCAGTTTGCTCATAGCTTTGTAAGCTAAGCATACCGCTATCAGCTTCCTTCTTAATACGGAGATAAGACTCGCAGCTCCACTGCTTTTCCCAGGGGCCTGACAAATGAGCTCCGTCATCAGCTGGGCTGGCCTGATAGGACAGACTTCGAAAGTTTTGACGATTGCGCTCATCAGTATCACAAAATCAGATTTTGTGTTTGTGGTTCTGCCGTTGCCGTCTGTTCGTGATGCAAGTGAGGGTTGTGTACCTATTGTGCGCAGCCACACGTGAGACGTTCGTGCATGACAGCCACAGACAGCAAGCAACATTGCCACTAATTGTTAGCTACCGTTATGGCCACTAATCCCTAATCCCTGTAGCTGGAGGATTCACGATGAAACTTGTGTTGAAACATTCACCGCACATGCGGCAATGCTTGAATGGAATAACACATAATGTGTTACACATTCCTTGGGCAATAACTTTCTGACGGTATAGGGCCCCCATTTTCATGTGGGATTATACTAATCTAAGGAGGAGCCTCGTCTCCATTCCTAGCAAGAGTACCAACGCTTGACAATTCCTTACATTATGATTAGAAATGACGTTCGCTCACTGACCAGTGAGAGTAGATGCCTCTGCACGTGCATAATTTGTGTGGGCCGCACAATGCGGGGCAACTCGAGCCACATGCCGATGCTAGGCTGGCATTGTCAGTATTTCTTGAGCGCTCAGGAATTCGATCTTCATCACATTTAGCTCATATGAAGTTACCCTCCATTCTGGCTATCCTGCTCATCTTGGGTGTTGTTAACGGTGATGTTCACGTAGATGATGCTGGGAAGATCTTCTCCGAGATGATGATGGATAAGCAGGTCGATAATGGCGGTCATGTGTCCGAATTCATACTTAAACAGAGCTCGCCTAACAACCTCGGAGATCCGGCTTCATGTGTAGTGTGTTCAACCTGCCAGGGACTTGAGTTTATCCCGCCCATCTGCTGGCCTTTAGGCCTCGCTTGTGGCGATAACTGCGAGCGTTGTTGCTGACGTTCGATGTCTTGTTGACATTGCCTTCGGCTGTCCAACCAGCCAAAAGTACTCTCTCCTTTATATTTTGACATAATCGGCCAATCCAACCGATTTTCATTTCTTTAGCTGAATCGTTAGTGGCGTCGGCTCAAGAATGTCATCTGATGCAAGAGACAGTTTTGTGGCCGTGTTCCAGGATGCTATCTCTGGTCACGGCAATCTTCCAGATTGTACGACACGATGTTGCTGAGCATGCATCTGCTCACGAGATGCTTAGACTGCCGTTCAATCTCTCTCTATACCTTCTTGCACCAGCTGATATGTGCTGGACGCGCTATGGTAGATTTATTGTGTATAGCTTTAAATGTTCTTGTTGTCAAATCTTACAGGCGCTTCTCAGATCGCATTGTCGTGTTCCGTCTAATCCATTCAGAAATCTTTTTGACGAATAGGGCCACTACGTCCGCGGACAAGGAACCTACTCACAGGAGTAAGGACACTAGCTAAGTGACTAGGTTTACTGAGGTGCAACATAATCAGTTAATATCGTAACGGATAATGAAGTCTATCTAGCGACTCGGTTCAAATAAGGGTTCGTGAACAAGGCCCGCAGTTTCATGATCGAAGGAATCAATTTCGCCTATATGGAGAACATCTTTTTGTGGAGACGGAATTATACACGTCCGAAATGGTAGATTATATGAGTGTGTCTCGTCGAATCGCAAGTGAAACGTTCATCGACCTTAACAGTCCCATCAAGTTGATGAACTTCGATGAACTTGTGGGTTCATCGACCCACAAGTTCTTCGCATTATTCCCCGATGGCGTCACCTGCAGTAATATGTATATATATGAAGGTGAATGGTATGGGGAGGGGGATAGATAATACCTTATCCGAGGAAGAAGAACTGCAAAGCCTACGAGATTCTATATGATGACCTGAAGACTAAGAGTGACTACTATAGGATTTATCAACTTCGGAGTATGCTGAGGAAAGACGAGCTTAGGATTCCTGTATTGACATTTTCAATTTGAGAACCTATTCTCGCGTTGGTGACCCTAGCTTGCGCGCTAATTTGCGCGATTCTGGTGATTAGTATTTCTCACATTGGTGAGTCACCAATGGCGACTCTGGATGTCCACTAATTTGCACAATTCTAGTAAGTAGTAATCTCGCGTTACTGACTGTAGCTCATCCACTGATTCGCTCAATTCTGATCGAGTAATTGCTCTAATCAACAACGCACACGGGACTCGTAGGCGCTGTTGAGTTTTCCAGTTCGTCCAATTCGTGGATCTCATGATGACTCATGATTCATGAGTTGTATTTCCTTCGAAGCATGACCTTGCGAATTTTTCTATGAACACTCCTGCGCACCTAAGAACCAACGGCGAGATTCATCGATTCCGTCCTTACCAGTATCTAAATCTCCCGAGTGTTTCAGATATATTTTTGTCAGAAGTACGGCACATCTCTATGCCTCTAATCATTGATTAGTGATCAATCACATCTCGCTCTTCATTTTTCGCCTCTTTTCTAGATTTTTTCTCCCCAATTTCCTCCAAAATGTCCATTTTTTCTATTTTTTCAGGGAACACTAGGCATTCTTTCCTTCAGGAATAATAGCCTTTCTGAAGGAAAGAATGAAAGAACGGCCACCGTGGATGACTGACTCTGTGAGGTAAGTGACTGAAAGAATCGTTGAGAAGCACGATTCAAAATTGGTGCAGTGATTTTTATCTCTAGCAAGTGACATATATTATCCATGAGAAACATCCCCGAAAACGGAAGATCATGCCACAAAGATACACTATCGCCAGTGGTGATTCACCACAACTCGTAGCAGGTACTCGATCTATAGAATTGGAAATGAGTACGTTCGAATCGACAGACGAATCGAAGACAGAATCATCCTCATAAAATAATCCAGGCATATCACTATCTGAACATTCTGAACTGATCTCTTCATCATACAGAGACGAGCAACGTGATTTTCTATCTTCAGATCTTCTCAGCGGTATTTGATGCACAGCATGTGTTACAAAAGTACGGTACCTAGCATTCAAATAAAGTGGGTAATCACAGTTATACAACAAGTTATACACATCCTTACATATGGCAACCGAACACTCACAAACATGTGGACATGACAGAAAGGCTTTATACCGACGATCACTACAGTTCTCATATGAACAGTAAGTTCAAGCAGGAAAATACTCTTTAACCAGTAACAATCTATGAACTGCGCAGTGAATACAAGTTTGACCTCCTATCTTTCGCATAAACGATCTATCAAATGTATTTGAGCCCGACAACCCATACACAGCTTTCTCATAAAACGCAATATACCATTGTCAATGCAGTATCCCTAAGTCTATGAATGCACATACGGAAAGTAATATGCTTCTTTTGTCTTGCATCTTGCTTCTTCACGTAACTTAATGACATCTACTGAATCAACCAGTCAGGCCGCATACCAGTGAGATATACACTACCATTCGCGCTAAACGCTAGAAATTGGCATTCGATAAAATTTATCAAATGATTAAACGGTATGCATCCGTTCTGCACAGTTCAGTTCAGGCCATACTATCACACCCTACAATACTTCGGATATGACATCCATACGGGAATCGCACCCGGGCAACAGTATGGTAATCAATGGTTGTTATGAAATCAGAAATGAACTGCTTATTACTCGGGAACGGATTCTCCTTCACAATATATGTAAAATCGATAAAACACGACCGATGTTGTTCAATACTGTTCAATAATGACAATACTGACGATCAACTATGAAGTATTTGAAAAGAAATCATATTCAAGTGACATTTACATGATATCAAATCATACAATACAGCAGGCCACGCAGCTCGCCAACAAGAGCATCCATCCACCGAATACTCAAAACATTCTCCACACAGTAATACTTCTCCCTGTGAACCACCCTGACTCAGTTTTCCATGCTTGACTCTCTTAACCATGCTCCTTTGCACCGAATGAAATCTCAAAGAGTAATACGCTGTAGTCTCTCGATGACACAACCCACATATATATCGCGCTACATCACGACTCAACTTCGGAGTCAATGATGAATGATCTAAAAACCGCGCCTCTCATAATGAGAATCTCATTAATCCTATAACTGATACTTTTCATATTTTCTATACGTTCCAACCCCTTCAGATTCATCGATTGACAACAAGCTCCACATGGGCTGGAAATCGACCATTTGTGACAATTTTGGCATGACTACCTCTTCCTCGCAAGACGCTTGGGCCTAGGCATAATAATACGGTGTAAATCCTGCACTTCCTTACGTAACATGCCATATAACAACCATAAAACTGCTCTGATATTACTTTAGCGCGCGCCATACTCACGCAGCACCACGTGAGTTCAAACATTTGAAGACCAATCTCTGGTCAGTGACCAGTGGTCACAGAATTTCCGTTTCAACCATGCTTGAGAGGGCAATCAATAGCGTAAAGTTCTATGTGTACAGGGATAACCAGCCTTTTTCCACGGATCATTTGAATTAAGCCTTTTCATTTGCAGCCCTATTCAGAAGGCAGGTCGCGCCTGCATAATTGCGTAAAAGGTTTGGGCACGCTCTTCCAGGGGCCTCCAACCCTGGCGCGTGCTTATGCCATTACAGCATATGTTGAACCTTTGGGCGAAGGTGCCCAACACCGAGCGCTTGACAATTCCTGATATTATGATTGGTAAGGACGTGCACCCACTGACCAGCGAGATCGGGTACCTCTGTACGTGTATAATTTGTGTAAGCCGCACAATGCGGGACAACTCGAGCCACTTGCCGTGTGCGTCTGCGTGTTACTTCCGCACGCAGACCCAAGTTCTGGTGTGGATCCTCTACACATTTTTTGTTGTGTTGAACACGATGCTAGGCTGTCATTGTCACTATTTCTTAAGTGTTCAAGGCATTCCATCTTCATCACAGTAATCTCATATGAAGTTACCCACCATTTTGACTATCCTGCTCATCTTGGGTGTTGTTAACGGTGATGCCCACCTGGCTGGTACGGGGAAGATCAAGTCCAACATCATGATGGATATGCAGGCCGATAATGGCGGTCATGTGTCCGAATTTGACCTCAAACAAATCTTGCCTAACAACCTTGACGATCTCTGTGAGATGTGCAGAGTGTGCGAGAAAGTTGACTTTATTCTGCCCTTCTGCTGGCCTCTAGTATATGCGTGCAACAAGGCTTGCTAGGCTTGTTGCTGACATTTGTCAAAGCTTCTGCATACTTTCTAGTCTGAGCTGATATGTTCTGTACGCGCCATGGTGGATTTATAGCGTGTAGTTATTAATGTATGTTCTTGTTGTCAAAGCTTCTGCATTCTTTCTGGTCCGAGCTGATATGTGCTGTACGCGATATGGTGGATTTATAGCGTATAGCTTTTAATGTTCTTGTTGTCAAAGCTTTTGCATACTTTCTGATCCCAGCTGATATGTGCTGTACGCGCTATGGTGGATTTATAGCGTATAGCTTTTAATGTTCTTGTTGTCAAAGCTTTTGCATACTTTCTGATCCCAGCTGATATGTGATGTACGCGCTATGGTGGATTTATAGCGTATAGCTTTTAATGTTCTTGTTGTCAAAGCTTTAGCATACTTCCTGATCCCAGCTGATATGTGCTGTACGCGCTATGGTGGATTTATAGCGTGTAGTTATCAATGTTCTTGTTGGCAAAGCTCACAGGCTCTTCACAGATCGCATTGTCGTGTTCCATGTGAACCATCCCGAAATCTATTCGGCGAATAGAGCCACTACGTCCGACGGACAGTGTCCGCGGATAAGGAACCTACACACAGGAGTGAGAACGCTAGTTTAGTGAATGGGTTTACAGAAATGCAATATATTAACGAATAAGGAAGTCAATTCAGCGACGCGATTCGAGTGAGTATTTCAGTTTGGCGAGCAAGGCCTACAATTTCATGATCGAAGAAGTCGATTTGCAGGTAGTCTACGAGTCATCACCTACCATATCAGAAAATATGACAGTTATTACTAAAATTTCTTACCGGGTAATACCCGGCAAGAAATTACCGGGTACCTGTAATTAACAGTTAGACCGGTATACCTGATCTCCTTGTTACGGTACATATCCGGCGGGTATGTACTGTAACAAGTAGACCACTTTGAGTGGGTCAGTGTGCCGTATTCTGAGCGTCCTAGGTGTCCTCATAATGATGTTTCTTATGACTTCAGAAGTCAGGATAACCAGCCAATTTCCACGACTCATTTAAATTAAGCCTTTTCATTTGCAGCCCTATTCAGAAGTGCACTGTCCCAATACACAATCTTTAGTAAATAGCTACATAGCCTTGTCTCTAAGCTAATGTATCGCTTCTTACTCATCTGTATATATCTGCCTTTTCTATCTATCCCATTCTGCTCTAGTCGTTGAGTAGAATACTGCAGTAGCGGCTCCTTGTTCAAGAAGATGGATCCGAGTCTTTACTTTGCTCTCCCAGAGTTTCGACCCCCTCACCAGCGTGCTCGATTTTGAACAGTGGGTTCACAAGTTCAAGGCCTGTCCGACAGCTAATGAGTAGGATGAGAACGCTAAACTACGTCATCTATCCCCCTTATTGAGAGGAGACGCTCGGATATTATATGATGAACTGGCTCCTGGTGAGAAGGATACTATGCCCCATTTAACTACTAATCTGACTAAAAAGCTGAACGTAGCCTCGCAAATGCAGAGTAGTGAAGAGCTTTATCAACGAGTACTCGATACTGGTACTGAGACCCTATTGACCTATCAGAATGACATAAAAAGTTTTGCTCACAGAGCATATCCAGATATGTCTTCTGATCAACTCAAGCCGGTAATTCTGACAGCTTTTATACGTGGGTTACGAGGGCACTCTTCCGCCTTAACTAGGAAGGTGAGAAATGCCAATCCTAAAACGTTGCAAGCTGCTCTGGAGAAGGCTCAGTTTATACTCTCTGGCCCCTTCCCTGAGGCGGTACATGAAGTTGCTGGAGAAGTATCGGCCCTACGACCAGTGGGAGAGCAGACAATGTGCTTTCCTATAGGCGCATATGAGGGAGATGGCTCAATTGTGGACGGCGATTCTGTCAACTATCCGGCTTTCCGAGCGGAAACGGTTTCATCGACTTCTACTACGCAGGTTGGTCCTACACCGCCTTTGGTACCTCACCTAGTGAATGCCATTGGGGAGGCAACTAAGAGGTGCGATTATTGACAATAATACAGTAATTTATTGTAGAAGACCCGGTCATGTGGAAACTGACTGCTTCAAAAAGAAGCGTGACAAAGGTGAAGCTATTCCGAGGAAGAAGTTACGATATCAAGAAGGCTCCCCATCTGACACAGCTGATATCAATCGACCTTCGGTATTCTGCACCTACTGTCTGAAGAAGAATCATATTGAAGATCAATGTCGAACCAAAGCTCGAGCCCTACAGTCGAAGAGTCAACAGGCCTCAAAAAACTAGAAGGCCGTGACTTTGCTTCGGCTACACAGTCATGTAGGCCCACTATTCAAGCCGTATCTATCCAGTCAGCCGGTTGTTCTTCAAGACCTACTCCCGACTCCTGCACGGTAGAGGTCAAATTTCATGTATCTCACTCGGTGATCAAAGCCGTAAGTCTCATCGGTAGTGGATAGAGTGTATCCCTTATTGATGTACCCACACTGGCAAGTTTACCAGTGAGCATTGAAGTTGATAGGTCAGATTCTCTGAGATGCACAACAGCGACAAAAGGGTCCCTCTCGACTATCGGATCAGTGATACTATCGATCCAAATTGGAGATACCACGGTCAAGCATAAGTTCTACATTGCTTCGTCTAGTCTCATCTACCCGGTTATCCTTGGCAGAGACGTGTTGACAGCAAGTAAGCTCAGTATCAGCTTTAACACCAAACCGAAGCTGTCGCCACTGTATCCGGTGGTAGCTACAGCTAATGTCCAACAGGTTGAACAAGATACTTGGAAGGCTCTACCGGATGGTTGGTCAGTGGATGAGGTGGTTCTAGACAACAATGATATATATATTGTACCTGCCAAGCCTCACGGTGACACTGCTGTCGACTCTAGATTTCGGTTCTATGTGGGTATCAACCCAACTCTGGTGAAGTGGCCTAGTCGAGCTGAGCAGCTAGAAGGTCCGAAACCACATCCAGCTCTCAAAAATGCCGACTCGGCAGGCGTGAAGCCGCAAAAAGATGTTTCGATCAGTGGATAGAGGAACGCCGACTACGACCAGTTGAGTTGAGGCCTTCATCTTCAACCACAAACTGGTATATTGTCGGTGGAGACTCGAGGCGTTATAGACCCGTGTTCACCGACCTCCACTTGAACCGACATCTGCGGCGAGCCTTTGGCCGGAAATCACCGTTTTCTCAGAGTCTGATAGCAGTGATCATTGAAAAGGATCGATTCTTCAAGCGGTTGGTGGTTAATGATGTTCGAGATGCATATATGCATCTCTGGGTACTCCCTAGTAATCGTTCTCTATATACTGTCAACATAACTCCGTTCGACGAAAATCCCACTCTGTCTGAATTTTTGTGCCTACCGTATGGACCTTCTCACTGCCCACGATGCTTGGAGTGCGTCTTACAATAGCTTCTGTAAAAACATATAAATATGACCGGTGAATTCCAGCTCAACTCGTTTATGAATGACCTACTATTATACTTCGATTTTCCACGCCCCCGATTCGAACAAGACTTTGGTGAGCTATGTGCAGACTATGACCTTTCCTTGAAGCCTACCAAGCGTCAGGGTATCACTGAAGGAGACGCTCGCGTCCTAGGCCTAGATTTTGTAGATCATGGGGAGAAGATAGCTACGCCACGAGCAAAGTTGACTAAACTGCAGCAGAAGGCCCCGTGTGATACCTGTTCATATGCAGACCTACTCAGTACACTGGGAGTCTTGGAAGAGCAGCCGACGACGCCACCCTGGGTAAACGCCTTGAGACATGTGGCACAAGGTTTGGTTGCACGTGAGCGACACGCACGACATTACAAGTGGTCTACTAAATGTTCACAAGAGCTACGTGCCCTGGTTACTGTGTGTCACACAGTAACCAGGCGGTTTAAGAGTGGCATAGGTATGCCACTGTGTGACTTAAACTTGCCTTGGCTGCCGATGAGTCCTACACCCTACCAATACAATATGATTTTCAAGAGCCTCTACACGTTTACACCGACTCGGCCAAGTATGCTGGTGGGTTCATCCTTCGACAGTCAGGCCAAGACATACTGAAGCGAGTATTTGTCTTCTCGAGCTCAGAGTCTAATCTACCTATAGTCTGCTTAGAAGTTCATATATTGTATAGAGCGTTCGAAGCAGTTCATAGGATAGAGCTCGTAGGTCATCAATATTTTTCTCGATTGTATTTCCACGTGGATAATGTAGGGTTTGTCCATTGGGAAAATGGGAAAAGTTTCCCTTGGGAAATTTCCCACTTTTCCGTTCCCGGAAAAACTGCCAGTTTTTCCCTTGGGAAAAATGCGAAAACACCTCGTTTTTCTCTCCCTGAGCAGTGTAAACTACGGGTCATACTCATAAAGCGATCATGTTTATCCCAGTGTTCTTAAATGTCCATAGTAAAGTGCAAAAGCAGTGTTCCAGCCGTGTGAGCGATTTTTCCCACCCTGGGCGCGCGCTTCTCCACAAGTCTCTCTATAGCGCGCTTATTATCGAACATTACTCTCACGAAATCCGACTCAGTTTTAGTTATCCAACGGTTTAGGAGTCCAAAACTTCGATATATACGATTTCAGTGTTGAGTTGGGACATTGCTGAGGGCCAGTTGGCCGTGACCAAATGAAGATGATGCCTGCTGAGAATCTCAGCCTGAGATGTTGTCGTGCCTTCCAGCTGTTCCAAATGCCAAACGCTTCGAGTAGACGTTGGCAAAAGTGGCATATGCACTTCCATCCATCAGGGGTATAACACAGCTGGTAGAAACCATCGGGCTTAAACTCTCCCTTCGATGGACCGTCCATCATGAGCGATAGACGTAGCGATTCAAAAAGCTAAGAACGAAGTCCCTAACGCAGATAATCAATGCCCTGAATCTTCACTCAAAAACCTCGAGATTAGTTAGGATAAGGATCTCATCATACGTATAGACTATCCACTGATTATTTGAATAATCGAGGTCAACTCGTTGGGCCAGTTTACTCGGCGTCGCCGAGTCGACGACGGTCACCGGCGTGTGTG